TGAACTCACAAGACAGATCAGAAGTCAATATGGCAGAAAAAACTGGAAAATGAATAGATGGTGAAAGCAACAGAAACAAAGACGATACAAACGTTACGTAAATTGTGAACCAAGGGGCATGAATGCTGGAAAATCTCCTGAAGGGAGAAGGTACACAGAAAAAAGAAAAGAGAACTGAATTGTTCTTATCAGTGAATTTCAGTGAATGCTTGAAATCTGTCATTGAGGGAGAAGAAGCTTTTATAAAAAATAAAAACACGAATTTAGGCTGATTATTTTTTTATATTTATATTTTTCATTTATTTTCTGTTTAGTTATGGAAACAAAGCGTGAAACTTAGACTTAACATGATGACAGAGAGTTGAAATACCATGACTTTGACGAGGAAAGAAGGTTTGGAAAATTTATTTTCAGATCATTATCAGAAAACAGCGAAAATGAATCGATGATAAAGAGTGATTGACGATCGACAGTATCTTTCAATACATGACTGACGTCCTGAAGGGACAGTACAAAAAAAGAAGAGCACGATTCATGTATCATTTTTGATATCTGTACAGCTTTTATAATTAAGAAAACACGAATTTTTGCTTGTTATTTTTTATATATTTATATTTTTCATTTATTTTCTGTTTAGTTAAGTGCCATGCGTGATACACGCTTAGGTGATGATGTATCTTTCGATACATGACTGACGAGGCATATTTTTAATTTATTTTCTCTTTATCAGTTATGCGATATGCGTGATACAGGCTTAGGCGATCATGTATCTTTCAATACATGACTGACGAGGCAGATTAGGCGATCATGTATCTTTTGATACATGAATGACGAGGCTGATTTTTTTTATTTTTGTTTTCAGTTACGCGTTTGATCAGTTAGGCAATGATGTATCTTTCGATACATGACTGGATACATGCGTTATACAGGCTTAGGCGATCATGTATCTTTCGATACATGACTGACAAGGCAGATTAGGCGATCATGTATCTTTTGATACATGAATGACGAGGCAGATTTTTAATTTATTTTCTGTTTATCAGTTATGTGTCATGCGTGATACACGCTTAGGCGATCATGTATCTTTCGATACATGACTGACGAGACATATTTACGTATATATAAATTCAAACGTACATAAGATTAATTTTAAGGACAGCTCAATACCAAGAGTAGAAAAATAGTTATTTATTATGAGTTGTTTCATACGCACAAACACTCACAACAAAGTTGCAAATTTGTTTCGGTGCGTAAGCATCTCATCAGGTGAGAACCAAAGAGGGTTATAAACGATTTTATTTAAAAATGCTACTTATGAAACATCACATCCTTTTTACATTATTCAAAACTTTTTTTAAAAAAATGCTTAAGGAAAAACATTGTAATGGGGTCCACCCTTTTCGGATATAATGGACTCTTCCTGCTGCCATAAAATAGCCACAGTCAGTCAGAGAAGATGAGTCGTACAAGAGTCGTACAAGAGTCGTACCGGAGTCGTCTGTGAGTGTCGGTAGTCGGATAGAGTGAAGTAACCTCTTGTCGAAGTCAGTTACAAGCACGTAGACTGTAAGGAATTCCTACTTCGAGACTGTATATATCTATCTGTATTTGATACTAACCGGCGTTCCTGGATTTTACTAACAGCATTACCTTTTGTATTTTGTGTAAATACATTTAATTTCTTAGCTAAAATAATTGCGTTTGTCATTTATTGGATACCTATTTTTCACGCGGGATCCACAACAAACATCATAAAAGGAAACGAAAGAAATATATTAAAAAAAATCCATAAAATTGAAAAGAAAATATGATAAAAAACAGGTGAAAGCAAAAAGAAAAGGATAAGAAGACAATAAAAGGAAAAAGGAAACAAATAGAGAAAATATAAAAGTTATTTAAAATTAAAAGACACCATTCCGAAGAAAAAGAAGAGAAGAGAATAGGAAAACGGAGAGGAGTAATATATCAAAATGAATGCAGAGGAAAGGATAAAAAGAAAAACAAAAAGAAGAAAGAAAAAAGAATGCAAAACGATAGGAGTTGTTGATAATAATTCAGCCAATGAAAGAACGTTAACATTAAGATAGAAGCCAAGCCAGAAATCAAATGTTTGTAAAATCTGATAAAACTGCAAATTTTTACAGATTTGAACCAAAGTATTATAAAGCTTTGATTCGAAATGATTTAATGAAGAATTATAAAAAAAAAATGTAACTATCGACAACTTTAATTGTGTGGACATCATCTTCGGATAAGTTGAAAATGGATGATAGGGTGGCAAAATTTTCTACTAAGGAGGTTTATGTATTACTTAAAGATCATAAACCTGATTTTCAGAGTAAACTATCTACAAGAATTATTGATCCAATTATATCTGAAATCGGTAGAATCTACAAAGTGATCATGGAACGTGTGAATCTATAAATTAAAAACTAACTTGGTCTCATCCAATGGGTTGATACTACCGATGTAATTAACTAGTTTAAGAATTTTGACAACAAAATAATTGTGCTTTTATCCTATTCGATATTGTGGATTTCTATCCATCTATATCTAAAGGCCTATTTAAAATGGCTTTGAAATTCATTTAGGTGTATTCCGACATTTCTAAGGATGAAATTAATATCATCTTAAACTGTAGAAAATCAGTCCTAACCCACGATAATGAACAGTGGATGAAAAGTTCGGATGAAAATTTTGACATATCTATGGGTTCATTGGATTCTGCAGAGTCCTATGATTTAGTTAGATTATTTATATTGTTCATTCTTACTGCCTATAACGAAATTAATTTTAATAGTATAAGGCTCCATAGAGATGATAGTTTCTTGATAGTAAATAATTCTACTGGAAGTAAAGTGGATAAAGTGAGAAAAATGATTCATAGAATATTTAAATCTTTACATCTTAATGTTAAAATTATCTCTAATATGAAACAGGTTGATTTCTTAGATATAACTTTAAACTTAGCCCTTAATAATTTTCAAACTTTTTTAAAAAAAACTATGCAAGTCCATTTTATATCAATCCTAACACCAATCACCCACCGCTTGTTATTCAACATATCCTGTCATCTGTGAAACGTCGTATTAACTAGCACTCTTCACACAAACATTTGTTTGATAAACATAAAAGTGTCTATAATAAAGTCGTTAGCGATAGTGGCTATAGATCTTCAGAAATTAAGTTTGTATAAAATCATAGTTATTCTAGGAAGAAGAATAGAAACAGGAAGATCCTCTGGTATACACCTCCATTCTATAAATTAATTCGTACAAAGTTGGGACACAGTATTTTTAAACATTTTCCTTAAAATAATCAATTAAGTCAAATTTTCATTCATTATACCCTGAAAATTCGCTATAGTTTACTAGAAATCTGGATAAAATTATTAAACCACAGAATAATAAAGCACTAAAACTTTATAACGATAATAACCGTAAACCAAGTACCAATTCTATTATATGACTTGTAACTGACCTATGTAATTGTAGGAGTCCTGACAAATGTCCATTATCTAACAAATGTTTAATGGAATCCATTATATATGTTGTGGCCTTGTTAGGGCCAGAAATAAATACAAACAAATATATTAACAGAAACAGAAATACAAACACATACAGACGAGAGTGTTACAGCAAGAATGTTCGGTGCGACTGTCATAGCTGACTGCTGGAAACTTCCCTCTCCAAAAGGTAGTAATTGATCCTATTTATAGCTGGGAGAGTCCATGCATGCGTGGGTAAATTACAATAAATATATATATATATATATATATATGTGTGTGTGTGTGTGTGTGTGTGTGTGTGTGTGTGTGTGTGTGTTATTGTGTTCTATTTCATCAATTGAAAACCCCAAAAACATTAAGTTGTATGTTGGTTCCACTAGAAATGCTTTTAAAAAAACGATATTATAATCATTTATTATCTTTTAGTAATGCTAACAAACGCAATATGACTTCAATTTATAAATATTTTTGGAAGTTGAAAGAAAAGAAGACACTTAATTTTAAATGGAAGATCCTCAAACAAGCCAGAACTTGTAGATCTTTGTATGAACCGTTTTTTGTGTCTGCAGATGTGAATTGTTAAACTTATACATAATCGTCAACTGTTAAATCAAAACTTTGAAACTGCTATGAGTTGTAGACACGTTAAAGATTTAAACTTACAATCTTGATAAACTTTTAACTTTATAATCACATCACTTATGTCACTTTATCTTCATAAAAACATGTTACTGTTACGTTAATTTGAGACTCTAAGTAGACTTCTACTAGTATATTACTGGTAATAATGCTGGCGGTAAATAGGTTTATATTTATATTACACGTTATATGGTTTGGTAATAGTTTTTTTTTAATTATATGAGTATTCGATACTTTAAATTTTATTTATTTTTTAATTTAATCTAATATTTTAAGTAGTTTATTTTATACGTCTAATAACTTTACTTCATAAAGGATCTTTTATTTACATACTATGTTTAATTCTATTAAATAATATGTTGTTTGTTTTAAATAAAGTCAAATTTTTAATCGATACATTGTATCAAAAATCTTTCGATCTAGCAGACGCATCTTGGAAAATTGTCTTAATTTTAACGTTCATTCATTGGATGAATTTTTAGAAACAACTGCTATTATCTTTGTGACGAAAGCAGATAGCCTAAACACGCACATACGCATATATTAGCGTAAATTCCCGCATAGAAACAGAATAAAGGTCACGTGGGAGTCTTATGACATTTTGTGAAGGCAGGTCAAAAGGTTCACTGACCCAATTACCCGTAGCGAAAAATGTCTAGACAGAAGCTACACAGGAGACTAATGCAAGCTGGAATTCGCGCCAAAACTTAAGACACGTGATAATCAGAGATTCACTCGAGAATCAGTTGCTATCTTGACTTTGAAGAGGCAAGACCTGAAGCCGAAGCGCTGATAGTTTATGAACGGAAAGATAAGACGTATTTGATAGTGATGGAACTTATCCAGTTCAAACCAGGCAGCTCCGGACAAGAAATATGACAAGAAGTATTCCTGTTCGAGAACCCCAAATTGAAGACTCAGAGAAATTTATACGCTGAGGATTCAGCCTGCGTTTAAAGAAAAAGGAAAACCAAAGAAGAAAGCATATATCTCTGTTATAAGTTGAATCGTGTGAAGAAAAGAAGAAAACCAAAGAGAGGAAGAAAGTGTATGCCTCTGTTACAAGTTGAATTGTGTAAAGAAAAGACAGAGGAAAACCAGAGAAGAAAGTGTATACCTCTGTTATAAGCTGAATTGTGTAAAGAAGAAGAAGGAAAGAAAGAAGAAAACCAAAGAGAGGAAGAAAGTGTACATCCCTGTTGCATTGAGTTGGTTTGTAAACCGAACTGTCTACAGAAGAAAACGGAAGGAAAGAAAAAGGCAAAACAAAGAGAAGAAGAAAGTGTATACCTCTGTTACAGCCGGACAGTGTGTGAAATTGTGTTTGTGTTGAGAAAAGAAAAGAAAGGATAATGATAAAAAAGAAGAGAACTGAATATAAAAGATAAGTAATCATATTTTGGACCCGTAGTAGAAAGATATACATACATCCATGAATATTATGTTCTTGCAAACACCTTTCCACATGTCAAAACAATAATTGTAACTCCTTTCCCATCACTTGTGTGTACGCGTTGTCTTCTGCATTCAATCCATAGTAATTCATACTTATATTTTTGTATGTTCGGGTTCAGTTGAATCCATTTGGAGTTAGGCGAATTTTGATATCCCAACGTAAGTTTTGAGATCTGGTCATCGGATGTTTTAACTCATACTTATCTGTTCTTTTATTTTGATATTTGTATATTTGTACATATTAAAATTCTTGTATCAAAAATCGCTAAGCCTTAATAGTTCATCCTTGTATTGTGGATCAGTATTCGTGTTGAAAACGAAGCCCACCTGGGAAAAGATTACTGTTCGATTATCCCAATCGAACAGTGGTCTTAAAAATATTTTTGTTTACCAATTGTCCATTGTCACGACCTGAGAGTGATAGCTTGTATCTCTCCACAGGTGTGAGAATGTATATATCTCCTAGTGAGCGTATGATCGCCTTATAAACCTATTCGTCGACTGGGGCATATGACATCTTCGTTTCTTTCTCCTTTTTTTCTTTTTCTTTTTTCTTTTTTTTATGTTTCGCTGTATTCATTTTGATATATTACACTTCTTTTTTTTCTATTATTTTCTTTTTCTTCGGAGTCGTGACGTGTTGTCTTTTAATTTTAATTAACTTTTCTTTTTTTTCCTTTTATTATCTTTCTCTTTTGCTTTTACCTAATTTTATTATGTTATTATATTTTCTTTTACTTTTATGGAAATTTTTAATATATTTCTTCCGTTTCCTTTTATTTGTTTTTTTTTTATAATTCTACATTAAAACATTTCGTATCAAAGCTTTACAATGGTTTGGTTCAAATCTTTAAACGTTTGCTGTTTTATCAGATTTTACAAACATTTCATTTCTAGTTAAGCTTCTATCTTAATGTTAACGTTCTTTCAGTGGCTGAATTATTATCAACAAATCATATGGCCTTGCATTCGTTTTTCTTCCTCCATTTTTTTATTTCTTTTTTCTTTTTTCCTTTTCTCTGTATTCATTCTGATATATTATTCCTCCCCGTTTTTCTATTCTTTTCTTTTTCTTCCGTTTCTTAAATTTTATATTTCTCTTTCTTGTTTCTCTTTTTCCTTTCACTGTCTTCTTATCCTTTTCTTTTTGTTTCACCTGCTTTTATTATATTATTATTTTTTTCTTTTCCTGCTATAGACAATATATATATATATATATATATATATATATATATATATATATATATATATATATATATATATTTTTATGGTGTTTTTCCTTATGTTTTTTTAATGTAAAAAGGATGTGATGTTTCATAAGTAGCATTTTTAAATAAAAACGTTTAAAACCATCTTCGTTCCTCACCTGATGAAATGCTTATGTATCGAAACAAATTTACATATTTGCCGTAAATACTTGTTTGTCCGTATGTAATAACTAATAACACACACACACACACACATATATATATATATATATATATATATATATATATATATATATATATATTTTTGGACAGAGCACACTCATTATTCCATATTAAGGTGTTGGAGACGCTGTACATCAAGTCCAGGCGACCCGCTCTTTGTAAACAAAGGGGCTGTTTGCTTGGACTTGCAGTGCTGCGCTTCTAGCATCTTTGTTGGTATAATTTTTATAATTATATAATTTTTTACCCTGTCAATTCATTCACGTCATCCATGACAGACTTTCGTTTTTTTGTTTTTTTTTTCTTTTCATAATTTGTGTTCCCCGTTAACAGTTCTGATGAGAGGGGATGAAACCAGTAGACTGGTGTGTGTTTTTGTTTTCATTTTAAATCTATCATGGCCTATAATATAAAATTTCTTGCTTTGTATGCCATAATATACATATAATATATATATATATATATATATATATATATATATATATATATATATATATATATATATGTATGAATATGTCCTGAAGATGGTCTATTAGACCGAAACGTCCGACGTTGACATTATATTAATATTAAAACAGCATAATTGCATATTAGGATTTTTGTTTGTTTTTTCAGTATATTTTTTTATATATATATATATATATATATATATATATATATATATTTCATTAATATAAATTATACTTTCAGGGGCTACTCCTGTTGCTATCCCTTTTTTTATTTACTTAAACAACAAAATCTCTGGGGATTTTTAAACAATTTAATTAACTGGTTCAAATTGAAAAATACTATTAAGGAAAATTTTCCCCCGACAGGTAAAATATTTTCATTCTTTTTATTTTCCATCAGGGAAACCACAATTTCACAATTTAGCCAAAGCGTTCCGTTAACCGTTTGGCAATGGAGACGAGCCTGACAGAATAACGTATTGATGGAAAGCACATATCACTCGATGTGACTTTACGAATTTGTATGTGAGATGATTTCTCAATTTAGGCAAGTTTTATAATTTTCACTAAGAAAATAAAAATAACGGAGATAGCAACTCAAATATATGTAGCCACAAAATATAACGTTTAGAGTAATAAGAAATCATGTGGGATAAAAATCTTTCAAAAAATAACTGTTGCTTCCGTTCTTTTTTCGAAATTGCAGCTAGATTTGTAGAAATCCCGACGAAAAATGTGCTTTCCTTAATGTGCCAAGATGTCCTCAAACATAATATAAAAAAGGGTAGCAAATCAGACGCATGTAGACAATAAATATAACGTTTAGAGTAATATGAAATCATGTCGGATACAAACCCTTTCAATAAATGACTGTTGTTTACGTTCTTGTTACGAAACTGAGGCTAGCTGATGTAGATTCGTAGAAATCCCGACGAAAAATGTGCTTTAATCAGCGTTTAATTTAGGGTTCTTCCCATTGACCCAGTATTTAAAAAAAAACTGAAAGAAGTCTTTCATTCACCAGTTCATGCCTGACGACTTGGAAAACCATGAAACTTTAAGTTGTACTACAAACCTAGGTATATGCATATTGATATATATATATATATATATATATATATATATATATATATATATATATATAAAATCCAGATATGAATATGCATGTGATAAGTCATGATCTGGCATCTAGTCTACAGTTACTTTCTCATAAAAAGTTGGCTTCCTTCTGTCTCTTCTACAAATATATATATATATATATATATATATATATATATATATATATATATGAATAAAATGACAATAGGAAAACTGGTAATTGCTGACGCGTTTCGTCCAATGTGGACTTTATCAAAGCAAAATACGAAAATTCCTATTGTCATTTTTATTCATAAATATTGTCTTCTCTACTGGTTAAATCGGAGAAATTTTCAGATATATACATACATACACACACACATATATATATATATATATATATATATATATATATATATATATATATATATATATATATATATATATATATCCATTTATATGCTACAATATTCATGGGGAAAATTTGAGGAGACTCATATCTATCCAATCATTGGTAGCGACTGCGTATTCTATGCAAGATATATCGATGATATATTCTTTGTATACACGGGTAGTGATGACAAACTTACCCAATTCCTTATGACCCTAAACACAGTGCACGACTCAATTAAGTTTGACTATGAAAAATCCACAACATCAGTAACATTTTTAGACACCCGCATTTACATAGATGAAAACAGGAAACTACAAACGACACGACACACTAAAATCACCGACACCCACAACTATCTACACTTTAAGTCCTCCCACCCTAAACACCTCAAAGAGAACCTTCCCTATTCACAAGCACTTAGACTCAGAAGGATATGTTCCAACAATGAAGAATTAAATAAACACATTGAAAATCTGGAGCATCAATTCACAACACGTGGCTATAAACAACACCTAATCAGGGAACAAATAAATAAAGCAATTTCCACACTTAGAGAAGGCACCCTAATATACAAGATTAAAAAATAAATCTAGCCGCATCCCTCTAGTAACCACTTTCAATCCCACTCTGCCTCCACTATCCCAAATAATCAAACGTCGCTGGGAAATACTACATCTCAACCCAGACCTAAAAAACTGCTTAAGGAACCCGGCCTTCTTGCATATCGTAGACCTAAGAACCTAAAAGAAATCATAGGTAGTAACCACATTTCAGGGGACAAGGTAATCCGTAAGGAACTGAGAACAAAAACAACAGGATTTTTTCCCAACCATGTAACAACAAAAAAGAAGTTTATGTTGCAACCATATTAAAAACACGAATTAATTCACTAGCTCAATCACTAAATCTACTTTCAAAATCTACCACGATTCTAACTGTACAAGTCAAAACATAATTTACCTCCTAGAATGCACACTACGCCAGAAACAATATGTAGGAAAATCTGAATGGCCCTTTAACTACAGAATTAATAATTATCGTAAGCGAATTAAATCGACTCCCTATGAACAGTTATTACCTGTAGAACAACATTTCCGCCTAGAAAAACACGATTTCAAAACCCATGCCAGATTCACTATAATTGAGAGAATAGAAAAGTTCAGAGCAGATAACATTAGAAAGATTTTAGAGTCCCATGAAAATAAGGGGATACAACGTCTAAAAACACAATACCCAGCCGGGCTATATCATAAATTTAACAACATATAATAGTAACAATCAACAAATCAAAACCTACCCACATTTCTCACCCACACAAGACAGACATGCTTACGGAGGAATGGAGGCCTCACACTTATACACTCACCCACACGATTATACACACGTACACACACCATACTCACTCACTCCCTAATGAGCCAAATGATAACACACACCTACAGCAATACACACGCTTACACATATCATACTCACTCACTCCCTAGGAACCAAATAACACACACACAAACACTAAACAGAGACACATCCCCTCACCAGGTCCAATAAAACTGTCAAACTGACCAGAGAATTCAGGATAAAATGTATCTATCCA